ATCAAAAGCTTACCTACCGACTCAAAAACATCAGGCAAAGACTCATGCGCCTGTCTAAAACCCTCTGGCGCGTCAGCAATATGGTCCTCAGTAATACCGATCGGCCCTGGGTAGCGGACAGATTGAGGCGGAATTTCAATCCTCCCCACACGACGAATAGTCATCTGAAAATACGATCGAATAATCAAGTTATTCGACTATTTAAACAGAGACTAGCGACAAACTCCTCAAAACAAATCATACCTCAGGAAGACGGGGTGGAGGATCCAGAGAGGGAAGCAAGTCCTGCGCATAATCACCCTCCATGCGCACAAGCTCCTGCTTAGGAAAAGTGTAGCGCTCTTCCCTGTTTCTCAACTCCCTAAGCAAGCGCGAGTTCAGCATCGACTCCGGTTGAGACAAGGGCACCATAAAGCGATCACCACTGTGCTGACGAACGACACGCTCCCCCATATACCAGACAAAGCGTCCGGTACCAACAAAAACAGTGCGGTACGCTGAAAGCTGCAAGGCCTCGGGAAGATTAGTCATCCCAGCCCAAGGACGATACTGGACATCAATAGCAACCTGAAAAACCATAAAAAGTTGCAATGAAGCACCGGAAATAACGTCAAGATAGAAAATAACAGGCTACAAAAGTAATTCTAACACCAACAGAAGAGGTGCCTCGGCGTAGCAGCTCGCGTAGCGCAGAGACAGACTCCACCCGTGACTCTCCTCGGTCACGCTAGCTGGCCCTGACAGGGAAGTATGAACCGCTCCACGACGCCGTCAAGGGGCCAATCCTGGAAAGTACTCGTAGAACCATAGCTGCAATGAAAAGTAATTTTTGAGCACATAAGTCGAACAAATTTAAATAAAACAAGAAGAGGAAAGGGTCGTCACCTCTACGACTCTCCATAAACCGTAGACAGTGACAGGGGACTCGTCGTTCAGCTGCCTACAACCATGACGTAACGACAAGAGAAGATCGGCATATCCAAGGCTGGCCCAGCTATAGGATCCTATTTCACTGATCCTAAGCAAAGAAGGAAGGTAGCAAACGAGCGCACGCGAACTTCTAGCAGGAGAAAGAGTCATGGAAATGAGAATCAAAATGAAGATCCGCACTCGCTGCTCAGGTGATGTCTCCTCCATGTCAAAACCACGGGCTAGAACCGAAGCCAACTCTGATCGCCCGCTCCTAGGACCACCTCGAGACACCGGCTGAGTCCTGATATGTTGAACGATCGGACCTAACAAATCGGCTGCCTCAGAGGCTCCCCAAGAAATATCAAACATCTGTGCTACGGCCCGGTCAGTGAAGCGTAGACCACTGATCATGCTAAAGTCTAGAGGGGTCACTGTCATCTCCCCCCAAGAAAAGTGAAAAGTGTTGGTAGTATCCCAAAAATACTCCAACAACGCGCGAATGACTGTCGCACCACAACCCCGGGGGCTGCGAAACCCTACGATCGCTGAATAAAAGTCTACTAGACCAGCTGATTCCCATAAGGCGTTCGTAGCAGGATCCCTCGTGATAATCCGATGAAGTCGAGGAATCAAATCTCCGGCTCCAGAACCGTGATGGCGAAGCGTGCTGTCGACTATGCCGGGAAGTGGACGATGAGAAACATGGTTCTCACGACAAAAAACCAACTGGTCTGATGTCCACGGAGGTGGATCCCACCTACCTCTACCCGTAGAGGGCCGAGGCTCAGACTCTAAGACGTCATCATCCATACCCTTAGGAATCGTGGGAGTGTCCTCCCGAAAAGCCTGACGCCGGCCATGAGTGGAAAGATCGCGATCCCGTCGTTTAGGCATGCTATTATAAAAATAAAAATCTAAATGCTTAGCATCATTTTCTAAGATATTTAGTTATTTCTATCGAGTTGCATTTTAATAAAAACCTAAATGCTTAGCATCATTTCCTAAGTTATTTAGTTATTTATTGCATTTTCTATTATACGCTAAATTTTTACCTCAAGGCTAAAAATTAGCAAAATAATGGAATCATTTATAGTATTTAGTTTCTCCATGACGAACTAATACTACGTTCTCCTAATTTGCATGATACTATGTTCTCCATGACAATGTAGTACATACACAACACAAAACATGTTTCAAAATTGTACGAAAACAATAGATCGACGCGTCATGGCATATTTTACAAGATCTACAACCAATATGTCATCATTTCAAGTGCAAAAGAACAACATGAACACCAAGAACACCATTTCCCACAAGTAGTACCAAAATGGTGATTTGCTCAATTCTTAACCAAATCATGCAATTTTTGTCTCAAATCGCTCACAAACACACATACATACATACACAAGTAAATTCATGACAAGAATTTCAACATAAACCTCAAAATCAAAAAATCCCCAAATTGATTTTTAAGGGTTTTTTCATGAAATTAATCATTTGAAGCAAATTCGAGAGAAAAATCAAAGGAAACTTACATAGATCCTTGTGGAGAACCAAAAATGAAGAAAGTAGAAAAAATTTAGAGCAAAATTGATGAATATTTGAGCTCCAAAAGCTCGAAAAGCCGTGAAGACAGCATCACAACCATCGCGACACGGTCAGCAGCAACTGTGACACGGTAACCAGGGCCCGTGTCACGGAGAACCTAGGACGTGATGGAGCTCCGGCGCTAGCAGCGGCGACTTCGGGTGACGACGACAGTAGCAACGAGCTCTGAACAACAGCAACAACAATGAGCATTAGCGAAAAAATAATAATAAAAAAAAAACAAAAACAAAAACCCAGCAACGCCGCCGTGTCATGGTGACAGGGTTCGTGACACGGTGTAAACGGTTGTGCGCCGGTGCCGCCCCGTTGTGGCACGGGAATCAGAGCAGCTTAAAATGAAAAAATGGAGAGGAGAAGTGAGAGCAGGAGAAGAACAAGAAATGGTGAATGAAAAAATGGGAGCAATGTCTAATATTTAAAGCCAAAAAATGACCGTTACATGACCCCGTTACCGTTCCACGTTTCCCGTTACTGAGTAACAGTGTTCAGGCACGTGGTACGGTGTGAAGCACGAGGCGCGCGGGATTTTTGGGCCAAAAGAAATCCCGCGACACGGGGATTCCTCCCGTCTGACGGTAATTGAGCACCGTGTCGCGGGATTAGTGCACGTGGCGCGGAGTTCTAGCTTCTGTCCTGCACACTCTTCGAAGCTGACAGCGAATATTCTTGGCATGTTGACCAAAATTGCACGATTTTCCGCGCAAATTGGGCAGTTAATTTTTCAGTAAAATTACGCGGAAAATTATAACTGACGGTTGAAGGGTATCAAAATTACTATTTTGCCCCTAGGAAGCATCAAAGTCAATTTTGTCACCTAATATGGTCGGATAGTCGATTTGAAGGTGTGAATCATCTGCGGCCCACGTTCGGGGATAATCGAACCATCATACACTTGCAAATTTCAGCGATTACAGTAGTTGTCGGCTTTCCTCAAGCATGGAAAACGTTATAGGTGGATTTTTCTTCAAGTATAGAAAACCGCCAAGTCGGCTTTCCTCAAGCATGGAAAGCGTTATCGGTGGATTTTTCTTTAAGTATAGAAAACCGCCAAGTCGTCTTTCCTCAAGCATGCATGGAAAGCATTATCGGTAGATTTCTTCAAGCATAGAATGACACCAAATTCATCCGTCGACTTTCCTCAAGCATGGAAAGTATCATCCGGTAGGTTTCTTCAGGCTTAGAAAGCTACCAAATTCCTCAGTCGGCTTGGAAAGCGTTTCAACAAACGTCATCCGGTGGATTCCTTCAAGCATAGGAAGCTGCCAAACTCATTTGTCACCGATACACTGGTACCAGATACGTATACTATCTTTTTACTCTTTTATCTATGGAATTAACATTTTCCTGCAGGTATCGGCGTATACAGAGTGATTTAGGATCGCAGAACGTCTTAAATCATTCTCCGTCCTCATCGGCTACTTTGACTATCGTTTTCGAAACTGACGTTTCTACAAACTCAGTCAAAGTGGGGGGCTTCTATAGACACCTAAAAATGTCTCCCCAAAACCAAACCCGATGATGAACAACCTTTCACCGCCACTATTGATCGGGTTCAGTATTTAATCCCAAGAGTGCTTAAAAAATTGTGTTTAATTAAATTCAGTTTTTTGAATAGTCCATTGATCAATCTTGATGTTTAGTCAAAGCATAGTTTTTAATTTTAGCCCAAATCTTTTTAATTTTATTGTTTTATTATTTATTTTGACCCAAACTTTTTATTTTTTTTACTTATTTTCTTATTTTAGCCCAAATAATAATAAAAAAAGAAGAACTGGCCCGAAATTATCAATCGGCACTTAAATTGCTAAACGAAATTAGGGTTAAAAATGAATTTAGATGGAAACTCCCGCGTCACGGCAACAGTCCACCGTGTCACGGGAAACTTTCCCGTCTGACGGTGGGGTTCCCCGTGACACGGGACACCTGCCGTGACACGGGGGCTTCCGTGTCCTTTCCGCGTAAACCCTTAACTCGCTTTCTTCCCCCGTTCACTAAATATTTCCCGCGTCACACAAAAGTACACCGTGTCATGGGAATATTTCCCGTCTGACGGTGGGATTTCCCGTGTCGCGGTATACTTTTTTAGGGTTTTATCATTTTAGGGTTCCGTGTGTTCCCTCAGCACATTTTTTCTATAAATACCCCCTCATTTATGATGTAAGGGGCATTAATTAATTCTCTTTCTCTCCTCTATGCTCTAGCCTAAACACTAGCCTACCCTTCTTCTTTCAAAATTCCTTCTTCAAGCGCTCCCAGGAGTCCATACTTTACTCGTGGTTCTGTCCTTAAGCACCGAGTTAGTGGCACCGGTTTTTAAGAACCGGTGGCAAAAAAAATTATGCGGAATTAATATAAAAGAAATGCCACCGGTTCAAGCCAAACCGGTGCCAAATTAGTGAAATGGCACCGGTTTGAACCGGTGACAATTCATTAATGTAAAAAAAAAACCGCCCCTCTTGTTTCTTTCTCTTTCCTCAATCTCGAGTTCTCTCTTTCTCTTCTTTCTCCTGTCTCCTCAACTAAGATCTCCCTCTTCTCTCTCTCTTTCCTCTCTCCTCAACTAGATCTAGGGTTTCGGATTTCTACTACACCTCACCCTCGTACAGCTGTTTTTCCGGTGGACGTCCCGATCAAGTCCGAAACAAGGTTCTCTATTCCGGCGGCTTCAACAGTTCAACACGGTTGGTAGTACTGTAGCATCGTTTATTCCAGGCAATTCGCTTCTACAAATTCAATTTCTTAACAATTTTGGGTAAAATTAGTCTATAAATTTATATAATCAACTATAGGAGTTGATTGATATAACATGCAAGGTAGAAAAACCAATTTTTTTTGCCGAATTATTCAAAATGTGAGCCTTTATTGGAGTCGATTGAGATAATCAATTAATCCTATCACACTATATTTGGTTCGGTTTCTCTGTTTTTTTTTCAATTGTTTTGCGATTCTTTGTTATTGGTTTAATATGATTTTTTTCTTGCTATTTCTATATTAAATTGTTGTTTTATTTTCGATTTTATTGTGATTTTTATTGCAATTTTCTGGCAATTTTGTTGACTGATTATACTCTATGTTTGAATTGAGTATGCAAAGTTAAAAATTTTCCACCCAAGTTGTGTATACTCGTGTTGCTGCAATTCCTTTTTTTTTTTTTTTTTAGAAGTATGATGGTTTATTTTGTTTTTTGGTTTGTTTGGTTATTAATCTGATGGGGTTTTTATATTTGTTGTGGAATTAGTTTTGTTTGTTGGGTTTCGGGGATTGGGATTGATCTGATTGGATTGGGATTTTGTGGGTTTTCATTGAATTATTGTACTTTAATCTTATAATGTGGAACTGTGATGGGTTTTTGAGATATGGTTGATTTTGGATTATGAGCTTAATTTGGGTGTTTTTATTTTTGAGCTTAATTTAAGCTAGTATTGCTCTGCTGGTTTAATTAAAACTACACTACTTCCTGTCTTTGATTAATACACACTCTGAGATCTCTTATCTTTATTTGTTGATGCAAGTGGCTGTCGGAAATGTTATCTATATTGAAGTGAACAATGGGGCAGTTAAGTGGGTGGGAATAAGTGATGTTGTTTCCACGGAGTTCGACCTTGAGGCAAAGGAGTCTTTCCCACTTCCTAAAGGAGAAGTTCACAAAACAAAACAAAAAAAATAGGAAATTGTGCAGGTTTGTGATGTGATTGTTTGGGTGTTTTGGATTTATTTTTGTTCTCCTCTAGCGTAATTTGGGTGTTTTGGATTTTTTTTTGTTCTCCTTCAGCTTAACTTCATTGAGACAAATTATGAGCTTAATTTGGGTGTTTTGGATTTTTTTTGTTCTCATTCAGCTTGGGATTGTTTGGAATGGTTTTGTGAGTATACTAGTATCAAATGTGATTTTGTTTTGTGCGATTATACTAGTATCTATTTTTGTTTTCTGATTTTGTTTAGGATTGTTATGTTAAATGATTGCTTTGTTTGTAGTGATGATGATTTTGCTACTTGGATTTGAAAAAGATCTCGAAAATTGAGTCAAGTAACGCTGAGCACTGTAATAACAAACTTTCTTGTGTCCTTATTGATTTGAATGATAAATAAATTGAGTCAAGTTTTGTGACTTTACTGTTGTGATATACAGATTGGACAATTGTAGATTAGTTCCTGTTCTTAATAGAATGACGACTAACACTATATATGAACAGCTTTACGTCTTTATCATAAAATGTGGAAGTATTAGTTTTAAGCTTGTGTAAATGTGTATTTGATCCCTATTGTGACTTGCCTAGATGGGAGAACCTTAAATTTTGTGCCCCGGGTTTTCACTTAGTTTAGATTATTGGTTTAATTAGGTTTTAGTAGCCTTAGCAGACTTGATAGTAAGTTTTAGGGTTTTAGTACCCATTCCTGTTCTGGGGAACTGTTTGGAGCAACCCTGTTTGATTATCTCCGTTGAGGATTCTTATTTCTTGTTGACACTACTTCACAACTGTTTATTTACCCTTCTGTTCTTGAAGGATGGTTATTTACCCTTCTGTATATAAGTAATACCTTTACTCTCAAACTTGCAATTTTGATTAGAATAATTTTGAAATAAATCCTTGATAAAATGGGTGCTTACATTATTTTGGGAATTCCTATATCCTGTCTAGTTTTTTTTTTTAGTTTGTTACAAATTAAATGTTAATTATAGTTTGCATTAAGGAGAGCTCACACCATTAGTATCTTCTGAAAATGGATGTGTAATATGTAAATTTCTAATATATATGGATTACTGTGATGATCTTTCATCTTGCGTGGAGATGATATGAATAGTTTGAAATATGCTGGCAAAATCTGGAGCTAGGCAATTGAAGGGGACTTTGCTTTACCTTACTAGATTGTGGAATTGACTGAGATATCCTAGAACACGAAAGAGTGCAGTAGAATGAAGTTTGCTACAAATTGAAGGAGACTTTGCTTTACCTTACCAGGTTGTGTGTACATACTAGAAATTTTCTACATGCTGTCTTGATTTGTTTCGTGTCATGATGGGGAATGCTCTCATTCTTATGAAAACGATAGTATTGCTGATTACCTTTCCAGTTTGAGTTGGATACTTGAAGTTTAATATTGAGATTGCTTCGTTGCTGTCTCCTGCAGAGCTCCTGTGGAAAGCAAAATATGGAAGATGAGAGCGCATACATGGCTGAAGTAGAAGATAACTCACAGCCAAATCAGGGGATTTCTCCTGTTTCAGAATTGATCATACAGGAAAATGGAAAATTTGGCAATTCAAGTCAAAATTTAAAAACTCCTGAGAGTGATGTTGCAGGTAAATATACCTATACTGTTGTACATGATGCTGCCTCTAATCAGTTAAACCAATTACATCTCTTTATTTAGTTTCTACTATCTTTTTGCTGTTTAATCTAAAATTTGTGCTCCAAAGTTTTCTTACAGAAAGATTTTCATTGTAGGATCAGATACTGCTGCGTGCAATAGTAACAATGCAATCAATGAAGATCAAAAGGTAGAACAACAAAGTCGTGAGGAGAATGTGACTTTCTACACAGAAGATAATGATATCATGGATGTTAACCCCAATTCTTCAAGAGAAACCATTGATCTGATTGAAGCTCTATATAGACATTCTAATCACAATGTGTGCTTAAATGACGGTGAAAACAGATCAGAGCCCTCTTAACAGTTGGATCTCAGTTTGAGGAGATTCTTTCCTGGTGTTATTGAAAATAATAGTAGTAATGAAAATCAAATGCTGAATCATTTCAACGCATCAGCTTTTACACGGTGAGTTACTTCCTTGCTTCATGATGAGCCATGTGTAATATGATTCTAGGCTGCTACTCAATGATATCGAACATAAAAGCTAGTAAAGAAATTAGTAGCAAAACAGGCTTTTATGGTTTTCAAATTTTCTAAATTATGTTGTTGGTTCTGTAGGCATGTGAACAAGGCATCACATATGTCAAATTCAAATCCAAGTTCTATTTCAAGTCCTTAAGACAAAATAGGCAAACATGTTGATCACTCATCAGACAATGCTCTAGAGAGAAGCTACAGTGCTTAGGATCCTCAGAAATTCCCACTCAAGGACCTGAATATAAATTCAAAGAAGAGCCAGTGGAGGAGGAGAAAATACTTGGCTATGAGAGGAAAATAACAGTTCTATGATATGTCAGAAGATAGCAAAAAGTCTAAGCAAAGAAGTCTTGAAAAAGGGATAGCTTATGTCTTGTTCAAAACAAGGGTATGCCTTATTCTTTGTCTATGCAACCACTGCAGCTTCTGCCTCGAAAGGCTGCTACCTCACATCACAAGGTTGCTGCTGCATGCTTCCATGCTCCTGCCGATGTTCTAATCTACGCTGCTGCTGCTGCTGCTGCTATGCTCTACGCCACTGCTGCTAATCTGCTCTACGCTACTATTGTTATATTATTACAGCCGGTCTGTTTACAATATAAAACTATATTTTGTGATTTTTTTTTTTGAATTAAAATTGTAATGTTACAGCTATATATATTAATGAAATTATAAGTTTATATATATGTATGTGTTTATATATCAATTTAAGTAAAAAAAAATGCAAAAAAATAAAAAAATAAAAATAAAAAAAATAAAAAAATCTGGGTCATTAAGGGCACCGGTTTTGAACCAAACCGGTGCTAATAACTATGAACCGGTGCCAAAAGCTCTCACTTTTTGGCATCCCTCAAATAAGCACCGGTTCAAAACCGGTGCTATAGGGGGGTTTTGAACCGGTGCCCTTTTATATTTTTCTACTAGTGATACCCCCTCATTTCTGATGTACGGGGCATCAATTAATTCTCTATTATTCTCTCCTCTATGCTCTAGCCTAAATACTAGCCTACTCTTCTTCTTTCAAAATTCCTTCTTCAAGCGCTCCCAGGAGTCCATACTTTACTCGTGGTTCTATCCTTAAGCCAAGGCGTGAAAGGTAGAACTGTTTGAGGGTTTGGCCCCCAATCAACTCTACTTAATTTAATTTAATTTAATTATTATTTCCTTGAAGTTACTAACTCGTTTATTATTTTGTAGTTGCAAGCAAACAGAATCAAAGTAAGAATTATGTTCCTTCTATTTCTATTATTTTTCTAACGATTTTACATTGTTGGAATTATTGTTGAATTGCTTCCAATATTAATGTTTATTCTATTTTTATTTATTTATCACCATATTGCATGTTAAAGGGAATATGTAATTGAAAATCACGCCTAATAAGATAATTTGGACGACCGGTTTAGGTTTCTTTTTAATCTTGTTATTAATTTAAGTGATCACTAATATTTTAGAATTATATGTTGCATTAATATTCAACCAATTTAGCCTAATAATAGATTGGAGCAAGTTGAATTTTGTTTGTATGCCTTTGAGATCGCATGAAACACTTTTCACTACAAGAATCGAGTAGAGGCCAATACGAGCGAATGTGACTCCATGACTCACTTCGTACCATCATCCCCGATCCTCCTTTCGTGGTTCCGAACCATATGGAGTTAGTAATATCATGGATTATGAATGGGGTGTAACCTTCACGGGTCAATCGTTGTTTCCTATCGTTGTCCCTTATCGTGGTTGCCTTTTTATGATCTGTGAATGGTTTACAAGTTCCTTAAAAAACTTGTTGGCAACTCCCTACTTTCGTTGTCCCTAATCGTAATATGTCAATTCTCACTTCCTATGAGTGCCAAGCATATTCACCACATGCTTTAACGTAGGCGCACTTCGAGCGACACCTACAGACCATTTTCGCTCATAGAACCTGGAAAAAAAATATACTGTCGTTTAAGGACCAAGGACGCGACGTGAGAAGCGTAGGTCGGAGTAGCAGGATTATGCGACAAGCAGTTGCATGCATGTTCGGTGTGGGAGATCTTCTGTAATGAGATGAATTCTAAGACTTGGAATCCTCCCGGATAAAGCGTGTGTGCCACGAGTGCTCTGTCTTCGAAAAGGCAGAATGTTGTTATAGAATCCGTTGTTTCGGAATAGAATACGCTGTGTGTCCTAACCAGATGTCGCGAGACGATAAGGGATTCTTTTTCTAAACTAGGAAGGATAGCTTGGATCACTTTCCTACTCCGATAGCATCTTTGAACGGCGGTTGAGGGAAAGTCAATCTGGCAGCAAAAGAGGTAATATTTAGGAAAGGTCCCTCTTCCTAACTACAGATAGGGAAGTTGGCTGTTAGCTACGTATGACTACAGACCGTTGAGTGCTCAATCATCACTTAAGAAAGACCTCCTAGCTCGAATTCTGCCTCTGTATGATTTACTCTTGTCTATATGTAGTCTTGTTCATTGAAGGTCTTTCATAGCTCGGTCTCAGTATTAGGAATGAAGAAGAGTTTTGCTACTCCCATTTTAAATGGAATTTCCCCTTATCTTGACTTTCACGCCTGTGAGATACATTAGGTCTCAATCATAGCCCCCGGCCATAAAAGGTTTCAAAAAGGACCTATTAACAAAATACCAATACAAAGACAAGAAAGCCTCACCTTGTAGTAGGAAGGTGTTCGTTGCTGGGACGGATAAATCTAACTAGAAAGGGCAGACTCAGGCGATGACTAGTAGATTTTCCAGGAGTTTAGAAAGCTAACGAACTATGACCATAGGAATTCTTTTTTAATAAATAAACTACCTCACCCTGTAAACCTTCTTGCCCACCACTAATCACTCTGTTGGTTAACTAGGAATGAATGTGAACCTACTTTCCCTACCTACGAGCGAGTTTGACTTCTAGGAGTTATAGTCCCTAAGTAGCAAGAACAAGGTTTAGATGTAGGATTCTTACTACTACTTAGGGAGTCTGAAGGAAGAGTGTAGAAACCCATTTGTGTCTCCCCAAAACCAAACCCAGTGATGAGTACCTTTCACGTCGAATCATAATCGAATGAAACGAAAGTGTGGAAAGGTCTAGTGTTGCGGAAAGTTTTATTTCTTTTCTTTTCTTTTCTCTTCTCTCTGTTTTTGAAAACTTTATTTTAAGAAAACAACCAATCCAGTTTGGTTGGTCCATGATATGGGTCCAATGGTGGTGTAGTTGGATGGGGCTAGCAAAGACCTTTCCAACGATATATTATAAGCCCAATTCCGATGAATATTGAGGAATTTATGGCCAATTTACTAAACTGGGCCCGGTTTGAGCTTTAAGTACGGCCCAATGATCTAGGGGAGGGCCTAATATGATTTATCATTCTTAATTCAATTAGGATTCTTCAGAGTTTTAATGAGATCAAATAACATTTTCGACTGAAATTATATTATTTTATCTTCCAGTACGGTAAAATTATCAGATTTTCGAAAACGCGTTAAAATCCGGTTTGGCGTCCAATCCCAGGCCTTGGCGCCTGGAATCAGGATTGGCTCCAGACGCCAGCCATTGGCGCCTGGCGCTAGCCACTGGTCCTGGCGCCAATGAGCCAGGTCTGGCGCCAGGTGGTTTTTCGATCTTCAGACTCTGTTTTGATAAATTATCTTTTTTGGATGTTTTTTTTCTATAAATATCGTATCAAAAACTCCGTTTTTATTCACGGATTATCAATATTCATTCACCATTCAATCATCTACATCTATTATCCACCAATTCTCTTTATTCTTAAGTCTTCATCATTCACCAATTAGCATTCATCTACAGTAAAATAATCCTTTTCATTCATCTCTTTTCATCAATTTTCATCAACATTCATTCTTTCTTTTCTAAACTTTGGTTTTAATACAAAATTCCGCATTCACAAGATCTAGATACACCTAGCCATATTCGAAGTTGCCTTCTCCCTAGACGTGAAAGGTTTTAATTTCTGAGGGTTTGGTCCCAAATCTCTATTTCAATTATTTAATTTAATTGTTTTGATTATTATTTTCCTTGAAGTTACTAACGTATGTATTTTGTTATTAGAAAGAGATACGAGGCATCCAAGTAAGTACTTTAATGGTTTAATTGATTTCATGATGTAGATATCATGCTTAGATTGTTATTTATGATTACTAGTATCATGTCTAGGGTATCTTTAATATTAAGTGTGATTTCAAGTATGATGCTTCCTATGTTCTTTCTAATGTTTATGATTATTTATTATGTTGCTTGATATGCATATTATTTTTTATTGTTATTGCTTGATCACCTTTTATTGCATGTTAAAGGGAATTGGTATTTGCAACCACGCTTAATAAGATATTAATAATCTTGTTTAGGGTTAATTGTGATTATAATTCAAGTGATCGCCAATAATAGTTTATTTGTGCATTAAATTCAACCAACATAGATTAAACAGGTTTAGGGTTAATCCTATTGATTGTATGTTAATCAGAAAGCGCACATGAATACGAGCAGAATAAAGTAGAGGCCTATTATTAGGGCAGGTTCAATCTCTTTTAGGTTGGATTTGTACCTTCATCCCCGAACTCTTATTTGGTTCATGACCTTATGGAGTTGACGATCTCTTAGATCGTTAAGGGGTGTAACCTTCATCCTATGAACGGTTTACAAGTTCCTTAAAAACTTGTTGGCGACTCTTTTGCTCTATCTTCTTCCCTTTTGGACGCCACCGTACTTTAGTGTATGATCACAGTGGGGTTCAAGCTAGTGGGATTTTTAAGGCTTGAAATTATTCCCTACGGTTTTTGGCGACTCCACTAGGGAGGATTTCTATTTTAATTCCTGAATTTGTTTCGGCAATGATTTAGAATGTGTGGATGAGACTCGAAAAGTTCTAAGTATTTCATGTGCGTAATTTTGATTAACATTATTTTCATATGCATAAAAAGGTTCTCATTGGAAAGACCATCCGTAATGAGTCAAAAACATAGGATTTTACACGTAGGAAATTTGAGAAACGTCTTTCACAACTAGGACTGAAATAACACCGCGCGAAACTGGATGATTTTATTGAGCACAGAAAGCTGCTGAGGCATGTGGGAAGTAGCGTCAGGGGCCAGAGCTTGGCGCCAAACTTTTAGCCGTAGCGCCAGACGCCAGTATTGGCGCCAGGTGCCACAGTTAAAAGTTGGCGCCAGTCTCTGTTTCCTGGCGCCAATTTCCCCCAATACCGAGCCAGAAATATGCGTTCTAATTTCGACCGGTTTTTCGTATTGTTTGCTCGATCCTACTTCATGATTGAATTATTTCTCACTTTTCTGAAACCCATATGTGTTCTACATATGGACATAACCCTATGGGAATTCATGCTCTATCTACCCGATTGAACGCTCCTGGCAACAAAGGGTACATCTGAGAGGTTGAATTCACCAAACCATGGAAGCGAGCTTTTTTCTAAAAAAACTCGCGGTGTTCTATCCACACGCGTTAACCCTTCACGGTTAGGCTTCTGCACGGTGCATCTGGACAATTAGCCATGGACCTTATTTGACTAAACCATATCCCGAACTTTAGAGAACTAGAGCCATGGTTAGGTTGCGAACTCATTGCATCATATTATGCCTACTTGACTAATTGTGCATTATTTGTTGTGCATATATATTCTATGCTCCTCTTAACCGTTTGTTGATTTGTGTTGAGATTATAAT